GTCCCAGGGCTATGCATAGTGCAAGGCTTTTAGTCTACTTGGAAAATTAGGGAAGAGCTATTGGAACGTTGATATGCTGCTCATTGTGATCTTTCCTCATCTAAGCATCGTATACGAATGCGCTGGAGGAACTATAGGGGAGGATAGCTTTCAGATTCCCCTTACCACCACCTTCATGATAAGTCAAACATCGTTTACGTGCTATCAATGGAATGGACTTAATTGAGCATTTAACTGAACTGGACCACGTGTCGTAGGACTATCCTCTCCTTCATTCTATCTTCTTCCTTTCCTCCTTCCATTCCTCAAGGACCCAGACTCTGCTACATCCCCAACAGAAAGGATCAACATGAACCCCCAAAAATTACAAACTTCCACTTCTCAACATGATCCGCACGAAGATGAGATCATCGAGCTCACCACCTACCACCGCCGCGACTTCGACCTAGCAGTCATCCACATAAACCGCCGCGCCCACGAACCCGTCCGCAGCACTATAACCCAACCCCTCAAAGCACCCTCCACAAGCCTAGGCCAGCTAGATGTCCTACATCTAGAACTCATCCACGAAATCTGTCTCTACCTCGACATCGAATCCCTCATTCGATTCCGCCAAGTCAGCCGCCGCGCCCAACAAAGCGTCAGCACTAGCCGCTTCTACCGGGAGACAACAACACACGCACTCGACGCATTCTGCGCACTTTTGAGAACCAAAGTAGCAAACCAATTCACCCTTACCGAGCTGTTCACTGCGCTCTGTACGCGCGACTGTCTCCTCTGCGGCAGCTCATTCGGAGGCTTCCTCTTCCTCCCGACCCTCCTCCGCTGCTGCTTTTCATGTATCCAGAAGGATCGCCTGCCCCGGCTCGTGCCTTACGCTGATGCGAAATGGTATATTTCGTCGAAGTGTAAGACAGCTTCGAAGACATATAGCTTACTCAAGTCTCTTCCGATTCTTCGGACCATCCCGGGGATCTACTCCATGCAGGAGGTATCGAGCAAGGGAAGGAGACAACTAGTGACTATGGACGATCTTATCCGGGTAGTTGGGTCTAAGCCTACTAGTGATGAAGAAGCTACTTGGACTGCGGCTAAATCATATTCCAACTTGCCATTCATGGCGACGACTACCTTACCTTATCTTGATCGGGCTAGTGGGCGCATCGAGCACGGTGTTTGCTGCACTGGGTGTCAGGTTTCCCTGGAAGAAGGTCTTACAAAGGGAATGCGCTTTGGGGCTGATGGCTTGGTCTTGCGTGATAGGGTTTATTCGCATGAGGGTTTGATAGAGCATTTTAGAGAGTGTCTGAAGGCGCAGGAGGTGTGGAAGTTGCGGAAAATGGGGACATCTGTTGCGAAGGTTTCGGAGTTTGTGCGCCGCAGAGGGTACTTTAAGGAGAGGGACGTCGTTATGTCGTTTGATCGGGCCAAGTGAAGGCGTAATTTATGGGTTATGGAAAATATCTTGCGCTGGTCTGTTGGGCCACTTAAATTACTACTTAAATACAGATAAGTACCGAATTAAATGATAATTACAACGACACCATGTCGCTTGCCGTTGCTTCCCCTTCTCTAGGCCGACTGTTCCGAACAGAGAACTTCGGTCTACTCCATCCCAGGCTAGCATATCAAATTGCGGAACAATCCAACTGGTGCCAGTCTGTCTAGTAAAGAGGCAGGCTGTATGCATTAAAGTCATACTGCCAGGTGTCAATCGAGGCCTGGTCGTACACACATTCCATGACCATGCCATTGTTCTTCCACAAGGGGCGGAGGGGCCAGGCGCAGATTTGGGCATTGCTGCCCTTCTCCTCGCCCGAGAGGTAAGTTGCGTTCAAGGTAACAGGCACCACTCCATTCTTGACGCAGTCAATCATCACCGCCATGTTATCCTGGGGCCAGGGTCCCGGCTCATAGGCGTTGGTCGCGCAGTGGCTGGCGCCAGGAACCAGGTACAGGCGGTAGAAGCTAGCCATGGCGTCCGTGCTCTGGTTGTAGCTAAGATCCGGATACATGATCTTGCGGACGGACTCGTGGTAATGAACGGAAGATCCAGTCGGGATACTGGGGTCCGACTCGCCGTGGTAGTGGATGATCTTACCACCAGCCTCCTTAAAGGCGCTCAGATCGGGGTAGGTGGTCTGCAGGAAATCACCATAACGGCGCCAGCCCAGCTCCATCCAATCGCGGAGGGTGTCGTATGTGACGTTATCCAGGCTCGAGAGGTTATCGGCTTCGACCAGTTCCAGGAAACGGGCGACCCACTCGCCGCTGAGCGCGTCGATGTCGAGCTCATAGCTGTCGGTGTCACTGTTGTACTGGGTCTCGGCGTCACTGAAGGCAGAAGTGATCTGGAACCAGATGTAGGCCCGCTTGCCATCTAAAGTGTGAAGACCCTTGAGCATCGTGGCCGCGGCCGCGGCGCCCTTAGCACTCACCGTGCCGTTCTGGGCCGGTGTGGTATTGGAAACTGTCAGGCGCTTTGCGTGGGCGGATCGCTTCTTCAGATTCTCACTGGTGGTCTCGGCGGCGCAGTAGTAGGGCTCCCCGATGGTGGAGTTAAGGTCAAAGTGCAGCTGGCAGAGGTCAGTCCGCGCGACGACGCCGTCCTTTCTGCCGTCCAGCTCATCACAGGCAGCTATCGTCAGGTTCATGATCTTCTCCAGTTCACAGGGCGGGGGATAGTAGCCCAGCATCTGTTCAACCACGTTGGGGAAGAGGTGGTTGACCTGCTGCTGGCCGTAGCGGATCGCCGGCGCTCCGATAATAGCACCATCCCACTCCTCGGGGAACCGTTGCACCTGGCTCCAGCCCTCGCGGCCGCCTTCGGAGCAGCCCATGTAGTAAGAATAGAGCTTGCTACTGCTCGCGGTGGTGTTGAAGAAGTTCTTGGTGAAGGCTTTGCCGATAACGCTGAGCTCATGGTGTGACTGGTAGCCGAAGTTGTAGATCGCATCCCAGTTGATCGTGCCGTTAGCGCTGGGGAACACAGCATCCAGGTCGGTTGTGAAGGCCCCGAACCCTCCATCTGTGATACCGGCGGCAGCACCGTAGAGGAGACCGGCAGGCATCAAGTCGCCCTCCAAGTTGATGGCGAAGCCACCACCGCCCGTGAACAACCACCGATTCTGGTAGGCATCGGGGGCGGGCAGCCAGATGCCCAGCAGAATCGAGCCGTCACGGCCGGCGTGCGAGTAGGCAAAGGTTACGTTGCAATAGTCGAAGGTGCCATCCGGGTAGAAGGTCTGGTCGCTCACGGAGACGTTGTAGACGGGGCTGGCGGTCACCGAGCTGGTCTTGATCTCTAGTCCAGTGAAGGCATCCAGAGGCAGGGAGGACTGCACGTGCGAGACGGTGCAGACATCCGCAAGCGACATCCCGGCAGCAGCGATGCTGCCTGCCAGCTGAGTGGACTTCATGATTGTGAAACGAGTGGCAGGAAAATGAGAGAAATCGACTGCGAGTGAGTCGGTGTGATCTGTCTGTGTGATAACGTCAATCGTTGTAGCAAGCCGATGTTTATATACCTGTCTCAAGATGTCCTCAGCATTGCACTGGCGAGCATAGAGGCTGGTCCTCCTAGGTTCATTCTATCTCAATATCCGTGAGGGAGCATATCGTGCTCCTGTGATCTCGCAGTCCCGCCCAAGACTTCTCGCGGTCCTGCCGAGAACCACCTACGGTTTGGCAGGTTATATTGGTGCAGGAGAGAAACGGCCTCTCATGATTGGTCTTAGAGCCAGGTACAAGCTCACGCATGTGGTGCCACACGGTAATATCTGATCAGATACATGGTAGGGCTGACGCGGCAGCGAAGCCTGTTCGGCGAGCATACTTTATTGGGTGGACGGAAACGATGATATACCGCTTTCCGAACGCCATTTAAGCATTGATCTGCAAATTGATCATGGTAAACCGGGGGGTTTTCTTCAGGCACGGGTGGTAGGGATGGCGGAGAGTAGTCTCTTTGCAGGCAAGAATGACAAGATGAGACCCGCAATATATTCTCGGTGGTGGTTCGATTCACCTTAATATCAGATAAACTTGTTGTCAAACATAAATTAAGCTCTCTGGACCATGTCATGGGGCGAACCTAGCGTCATTCGATTAAAGCTTTGCGGAATAGAGACGCTCATCAAGTGGGTCGAGTTGTCTCAGGCTGACAGGCTTGTGATTAAGTGTGTCAGTGGCAGATGAGACATAGTAAACAGACAGCTTGTTGTCAAGAGTATTCTATTATGTATTGAGAAAATTTACGGAATGATTGATGGCCCTTTGCATATTTATATAATATGCTAGTAACTTGGAAGCAACCCTTACTATCTATGAAGGTTGAGGTTTAGATACCTAGACTATGTTATATGGAAGAGTTCATTTGCAGTTGAGAGTCACTGAGCCTGGTGCGATGTAACTGCCAAGCCCATTGCAGATGTATTCTTGCAATTGATGAGGCCCCATTAGCGTAGAGTTTTGATCCTTGGGATGGGGCCTCTCAGCAGTGGTGAGAAGTCTTGTTGTAATGGCAGATTGATTGGCAGGTTTGCTGTAGTGGTGGCAACAGACAGCTTGATTTTCAACGATATGTGGATGCAAACAATGTGCCAGCTTAGATCAGTATTCTGATAAAGTCAGGAATATGTATACTGACCAAAAATGGTAATAGGCAGACAAACAGATGGCCTTGAGCTGTAAGCTGTAAGTTCTAACAACTTTAGAGGGTGGGACTTCGGCCTTACGTTATTCCTGCTCCATCTCAATGACTGGAACCTCCGCCCAGAACATCCAGAAGCATTTCCATCGCTTCAGTCAGACAATTGAACGAGCCGATCTCGGTTGAATCGGTCTCATTTCACATTGCTCAGTATCTGGGGATCGTTTTCGTCTAACTTCGAGTATCCTTTATACTGTACAGAATATTCGGTTTTCGTATGTCTCAGATACTGGAGGCAAACCCTAGACGTCGGGTGTAGTATAGTTGTGAATGCGAAATAGTATGCAGCATGCTCTCACGGAATCGCACACTTACAGGCTGCGGAACCTGCCGCCATCGTCATGTAAAGCGTGACGAAGCGAGCCCTGTTTGCGAGAACTGCCAACAACAAGGCCTGGCATGTCTCGGCTATGAGCGTCAGCTAGTCTGGGCGAGTCATGATGGAGACCGAGTTTTTCGCCGGCCCCTATTTTCCAGTAGATCACCTTTCTGGCCCATACAACGGAAAACGCTTGCTTGCTAACTAGCGTGGCAGAGTCCAACCAACTGAGGATGACACAACTGATGACAGAAAGTCTTGGAAAGCAGTCCGCAAGTGCTGCCTTGTCACAACTGGAAAATGAATACGATAGCGACGTACGCTTGGAAGGCGATTTATTTCGAGGCCCTTTCGGTATTCTGGTGTTGTCGACCAACGAGTTTGCAGATAATAACCAAGCTGAGCCGCAATCCGACCAATTGGATCGCAACCCGTTGGAATGGGATGACCTCTGGCCTGCTATTACAGATGATACTGCCATATTTGATGGGCTACATAATGTGCCCAGTGGCTCATGTGATGTCATTATACCGGAGCCCTTTCTGGATATTGATACTTTGACGAGTGGTGCTCAGTCTCTCCTTCGTCCGTTAATAGACCCGCATTCTGACGAGGTCACACACCAGTCCCCCTCTTCGTCTCTAACACCAGTCTTTCCATCCTTTGACGTTTCTTCAGGACGCCCAATCATACCTCCTGAGACTGCTGACCTGATGCGTTACTTCAAAGAGAATGTAATTTCGCTCTCATTTCCTTTGAGGAACTGCCGGTATTGTCCCTGGCAGCCAGTGCAATGAGCGCATTTGCGGACCTCAGTATTTACCATACTACAAGCCACACTAGGCTGTCGCTGTTCTATTCGCTTCTTGCTGCCAGCTGCCTCCATAAGTATACACGCGATCATTCTGCTGGTGACCTGCACATATCAGCAAAGCGTTTCAAAGAAACCGCCAAGCAACATCTCGAAATGGCCCTGAACCAGGAGGTTGTAGGATCTAAGCAGACTAAGTACAAGGAGATACTGATGGCTGTTCTAAGCATGGTCACTCATGAACCTTATATCGCTGGTTATTCGCCTGGCTAACGAGCAAGAGCTACTTCATCGCGGCGGCCCGACCGTGGACGCGCGTACCACAAGAGAATTAAAGCGGCGCGCGAGCATGCTCGAGCAGTATATTCTCTCATGGAAGCAGACTCCTGAATTGAAACCAATCAATCCAACAGCAGTGAAGAACGGTCAGGATACTGCCATTAGCCAGAAACTTACAGCAAATCATTTCATGATTCAGGCCATGCATCAAGCCATTATCTTGTTCTATTACCGTCGCGTCCCCAACATCAGCGCTGTAATCCTCCAAGATACTGTCCGCAACTGTCTGGAGTGTCTACAACGCTACGACAAAACCCGCATCGAGGACAGTGAGACTGCGCCGCCCGATACGCCTGATACAGCAATCCTCTGGCCTGGTTTCGTTGCAGCCTACGAGGCATTAGACCCCGAATTGCAGAGCGGCCTGCTAGATTGGCTTATCATGACAGGCCATCGGACCTCATTGGGCCCGTTTTCTGCAGCTGCAGGGACTGCGCAGTGCGTCTGGAAGACACGGTCAGAGACTAAGGATTACACGTTGAGTTGGTTTGATGTTATGAAGAATGAACGATGTCCAATTATTGCGACGTGACGCTTTAACTTTGAAATTACAGACCAATTATCTGAAAATACATTACGGAGAATAGAAGAAACTCTAGATCTTAGCATGAGATCTAAGCCGCAAGGCTTCGTCCATAACAGCTCTGGGGATCACCTCTTCAATGCTGGGACCAGCCGGCTTCCAGCCTAGCAACTCACGTGCCCGAGATGCCGTATACTGGGCGTTAGACCCTCAGAGAACGGCACCGTGTGCGGTCAATATGTCTGCAGTCTCGGCGTCGATTTCCTGAACATATGTGCTTCTCGTGAAGCCGTTTTGGAAAGCAAATGCGGCTACTCTTCTCGAAATCTCCCCGAATGGCTGCAATAAGACATCAGAAAACGTGACAAAAAGAAGGGAAAACTGAAACACGAACCATCTTTCCGTTTTCCGCAAAGTAAATGCCATTCTCATTCCACAACAAAGGATTCCTTCCTTGACGGTCCTCCGATTCCTGAACCAACCTCACAACCAAGTTCGACAAATCCGCAATGTGAACATTACTCCAACAGCTCAGACCCTTCCCGACCTGAACTCCATGTCCAAGTCGAAGAGTCTCCTTCGCCAGATCAGGTAGCTGGATGCTGCGCTGATTGACTGGACCGCGGCCCAGGCCATAGATCAATGGCCCGTAAATAATCGCTGTTCGGACATTAGGCTGTTCTGAGGAGAAATTTAGGAGCATCTGATCGACGGCGCGCTTGGGTGATGAAGAGATGATCTTTCGGATTTCGCTAATGCCTTGCAGGTCGTTGTGGTTTTGGGCCCGTGCTTGGCCATAGGAACTTGTTGCAACTTCCGCGCCAGAGAGGAGGCTCGCGCCCGAGATTTGGATCCAAACTGCGATGGAAAGCGTTTAGGGTGGCGTTCATAAGGTTCTTCAGAGAAAATAAGGAGATCTATAGATACCTGGACTTTGGCGCTGCGTCTCTGTCAAGCCCTGCGCAATGGCAGTAGCACTGGGGAAATGGTTCGAGCTCGCTAGGTCTTTCGGGCAACAGTTGGCGGTTAGATAAAATATATCCAGTATTCAGGGGAATGGGTAGATTCTTTCTGCTTATACATACGAAGCACAACATCAGCCTTCGAAGCCTCGCTCGCAATCTGCGCCGCGGAATTAAGATCTCCAATGACTGGGATCACAGATGGAAATTTGCTCGTGATAAGGGATGCCTTCTTCTTGCTGCGGACGAGGGCCGTGATCTTGCACGAGGAAAGTGCCTGTGTGAGGGCATACAGGACGTCGCCGCCAATGTAGCCTGTTGCTCCTGTTCTATAGATGGGTTAGTCACGGGTCATCAAAATTGTGGTGTGGATTGGATATACATAAATATGCGGGACATTTTGTGTCCAATGGTGAGGTGCAAATGGAATGGTGAGTGAGGTAGCAATACAAAGGAGTAGTATAACTTCTACATAAATATACTGGTGGGGTGTAGTACAGTACCATTTCGGGAAACCCTGCCTAATGGGTGCGAGATCCACATGTGGCTTATCAAACCGGCAGCTTATCGCGATGAAGGGAAGGTGGGCCACATTGCTCCTTTGGTTCGGAAGTACCGTACACCCAGGACCCGAAATCTCAAAATCTGCTCAAATGCAGTTGAAATGCTAAAACCGAGACTTGCAAAGATCTAACCGAAAGGCGAATATGGCAACTTATGACGACATGAGGAATGTAGAGAACTGTTTTATCCAGAGTAAATACTGTTAGGTATCTTATAACGATAGCCGTGACAGTGACGCCTGTATATATAAATCCCTGAACAACTAGAGCATCCAATAACAATTATTATTGAATATTCATCGACCAATTTGCGTTTGCTCTCAGCCACAATGTCTATCACCAAATCTCCTACCCGCCAGCACTACGACGTAGTCATCGTCGGTGGTGCTACCAGTGGCTCTTCTATTGCATGGCATCTAGCTGCAACTCCAGACTTCAAGGGCTCAGTGCTCGTTGTCGAACGAGACCCTTCCCTAGAGTATTCCGCTACCAAAGCCAGCAACAACTGCATGCGTCAACAATTTGCAACCGCCATCAATGTCCAGATTGCGCAATATGCAGCCGATTTCGTTAAGCGCTTTGGCACCGAATTTCCTCCAGACCCCCGCGACGTACCCTTTACCCCTTCAATCCGCAACTTTGGATACCTATATTTATCCAATTCATCCAAGTTTACCGAAGTGCTGCAGAAAAACCAGGAGCTGCAGGCTAGCTTGGGAGCCGGGACATGAATTATTTCAAGGGCTGATGTCCAGCAAAAGTACCCATTCTTGTACACCGACGACCTTGACAGTGCGAGTCTGAATGTTGTCGATGAAGGTGCATTTAATGCCTGGGGTATGGTGCAGTGGCTGCGTAGCACTGCCCAGGCAAACGGCGTGGAGTACATCGCGAACGAAGTCATCGGTGCAGAATTAGAGGAAGTGGGTGATAGGGTGCGAAGCATCGAACTACGCGCCGGAGAGCAGATCGTCGTCGGCACCCTGGTTAATGCTGCAGGAACTCGAGCTGCTACAGTCTCTAATATGGCAGGTATTGCCGATTTGCCAATTGAGGCTAGACGACGCTACACCTACATCTTCTCTGTCGATGAGAGCCTGACCCAGGATCTCCCTCTAACTATCGATCCGTCGGGTGTTCATCTCCGCTCCTACGGCGCAAAAGACTACCTCGTTGGTTGCCCCCCGATCGAGCCAGACACTGCCGTGGATGTAGACGATTTCAGCTTTGCAGAGAATGTATGGGAGGAGAAAATACTTCCAGTTATCACGCGCAGGGTTCCTCAATTTGCCAGCGCACGCGTGACGGATTCTTGGGTGGGTCATTATGAGTTTAATACCTTCGACCATAATGCTATAGTTGGGCCACACAGCAAGGTCGGCAATTTCCTTTTCTGTGTGGGATTTTGGGGCCATGGGAGCCAACAGGCTCCGGCTTGTGGCCGTGGTGTTGCTGAGTTAATTGTTTACGGGCGCTTCCAGACTCTTGACCTCAGTGTGCTTTCGTATGAGCGGATTATTGAAAATCGGCCTCTGACGGAGCGAGCAGTTATATAGAGCAGTAGCCTTCTACTTACTATTTTTCTATATGTTCCTACCTCAACTCTGACACTGGATCCGGAAATCTCTCAATAAATGAAATCTCGAAACTAGATATGAGTGTGCAGACGTTGACCGGAGATTACGGAGGTCATGACTTATTACGGTCAAAAAGTGGTCTCTGTTTCTGATAATCTGTGAAATTGGCAATATCTAAATTCATGAATCGACTGAACTAAATACGGAAATAGGAGCTGTCTAATATTAATGCCTCAGTCGCTGTGTTTCCGGAATCCGGAAGGATCGCTGCATCTTGAGGGATCTGGGGTAGTTACCGGGGCTCCGGTCGACAGTAGTACTACGTAGGTTTCATTCACCAACGCGGCAAGGGCATTGGAGGGTCATTGAGAAGCAAATCTTTTATGACTCCAGGCATCACTATCTGAGGCCGAGAAGTAATGGAAGGTGGGTCCTTTTCCACCCTTGGCGAAGCGAGATAAGGAGCACCGTCAGCAACCCACATACTCGAGGAAAGATCAGGATATCGGAAGGGTAAACTGTGATTAGGCGAGGCGGGAGAGGAAGCTATTATTGGAGATGGGTGGATTGGAGGTACAATAGCTGTACTATCCAAAGACTGGGGAAGCCTAGCGCCCATACTAGTTGGTTTGGTTTGTTCTTCGTTTGACCCAGAAATGGTGGACAAAAACGGCATCAAGGATGGCCTTCTTTTCCAAGATTTGGTGGCGCGCCGAGGTTTAAGTACAGCACCGTGCTGTATGAGGTAATCCCTAATTTCTCCAGGGCCTTTTCCAATAGTTGCAAGTGGTGTCGCCCCAGAGTCAGAAAGCGTGTTCACATCCGCACCCGCTTCAACAAGAGCCTTCATGACCTCGATCGATCTTGCCCAATACTAAATTATTCAGGCCACCTCTTAGTATCTTCGTGCAATAAGGTGGACACGGTCTCGGATGCTGAAACTTACTAGCGGAGCCCACAAGAAAGGTGTTTGAATGGATGGGTTCATCCCCCATCGAAGCAGACGACGGACGGCATCGATATGACCGCCAGCGGCAGAGATGTAAATACCATTGACGGAGTTGACCGTGGTATTCACATCGGCGCCAGCATTGATCAGCATCTGAGACACCGTGTCATGCTCTTCCGATGTACGAATCTGAGTCCACACCGTTTGCCCGTCGCGGCGTCTGTTATTGACATTTGCTCCTCGGGCGATGAGAGACAAAACCATCGCTGGGTGATTATGAAGCACAGCTATCCCAAGGCATGTCTGTCCCCTGAAATCACGAGAATCAACATTGAGCGGATTGTCGAACAGGGCTGCTGCCACATTGACGCAGCCTTTTGCCGATGCGATGAACCTCGCAGTACGGACGGTATCAACATAGATATCCTGCGGTAGATTCCGTAGCTGTAGCTGAACTCGTTCAAAGTCATCCTTGTATGAGGAGTGCAAGATGTCAAATTCTAGAACTGGTAGAAGACGAGTTATATGACGGGGATGTGATTGGAGATCCCAAGTATCCGTAATGATCCGCTCAGCAACCGAAGTATATAGTTCAGCCAGATTTCTCCGGGAAGTAGAAACATTCATTTGGCCCCATAGAGAGAGGAAAGACCCACAGTCTTGCATGACTTCAGCAAGCAATTTAATTTCGGTCAGCTCTTCTTTGTCTGTTATGTCACTTCCAAGTGATGCAGGTTGGCTCGACGATGGGGGCTCGCTTGGTCTCGCCGAAGTGTCTTGGGGCTGGCTTGAGGTCGAACCAGCAGGCGTTACGATGCTGTAGCCTTGAGGTGTTGCTGGACTCGCAGCTAGAGAATGTCACTATTTTCCGGATACCTATATCAGCTGGGTTTAGATGACTGACCTGCTGCGCGTGCTTGATCATAAGTCGACACCTGCCGCGGGATATTCTTCTGGATAGTTTTCTTATCGATCGCTTTTCCGTTCAACAGGATCTGGGTCTTCTTCTTGGGGTTCGCATGACTGCGCTTTTCAATGCGATGGTTAGCCCAGATGTAGAAGTCGTGATTGTTGTTTTTACGTAGTTGCCATTTCTTGAAATAGCGTTTGTAGGTGTCCTTGCTATCCAACCGATCAATGTCAGGGGGTACAGCGGTAATGGAATGGGTCTGAGATAGAAGACATACCTCGCACGAATGCCAAAATTCTTCTCCATGGAGGCCATCAGCTCGTCGAGAGTCAGGCATTCGTCGTCGTAGAGCCTTTGGATGGTGTCTTTGTGGTCGGACAGACTTATTTTCGGATTACAAGAGGGATAGAAGGCTGGGATTGAAATTCAGGTTTGGATAGAAAATCCAATGGTTAACGACTTGATCAGAGAATCGGAGCCTTCTAATATTCCCGCCTGCCCCTGGTCAAGCCCCCTTGTGGTGGACTGCTGGTCAGGAGCCGACAGCCTTACCTTGCTCGGGCTGTATACTTCACGCTATGCATCGAGGTAGGCCGCACTTCTGGTCTGCACCAATCGTGGTTCTTCCCCGGGCAAATGCTCACTCAGCCACCACATGCTGTGTCCTGCCAATTGGCTCAAGCCAGAAATGCGACTCCGTTTTCGACGGATCTTGGTCCAGGGCTGAAGGGATCTCCGGCTCTTCTGGGTTTGGGCTTGAGATCAATACAGGCTTTTCGCGGCTTCTGTACAGTCTGTAGAATCCTTCATGATAAAAGGCAGTCAGCCCCAATGCATCTGTTTTTTTCCCACCTTCAACATCGAAACTGACGTTTCCAACGAGAATGTCCTTATCAGCGGAAGCAATTATAGGCCTACTCGCTTTATTGGTCGCCTGCATTCCTTTGGTGTGTTGCATAATCCGACACTTCCGACACCAAAGACTGCCAAGTAAACATCTAACCCTCTCAACTCCCATCTTCATACAGCTAACTAACCCCCAGCTGTTGACTCCCTCTAGGCCAGAACCGTCATGAGAACCCCGAAACTCACCAAAGCAATCTTCCTCCCCTCCGTCCCAGTGAATCTTCTCCTCCGGCTCAATCGGTAACCGGTCGATCATTTTATCGGCAATCAAACCGTACCTCTCAGCCGAATCTTGTAGAGCTTCTGCACACTTTTTTCTCCCAGAACCGCACCCCCAATCACGATCTAGAATCCGGGATCCTGTTATACGCCCGCGTAAGATTCCTTAACACAAACGCTTGTTGAGTATTCGACTGACCGGGTTTCCGAATGGCCCCAGACCTTCTACTCAGATCGGTTTGAATATATGGAGCCGTTGATGGGGACTAGTACCGCGACTGGCGGTGCCGAACATACAGGCCAGCACGAGCAAGTCCAAAGTGCCTGGGAGAACGGACGCCAAACTCTTAACGTACCACAGTGATCATTACAACTATCGCACCCCTCATCAGCGGATACTCCGAGCTCCACTGTGGCCCTTCTTCCTACCACTGGTCAACAATGGGTCAATTGTCAAGCCTGACACATCTTTCTTGTCTAAACCTTTTACGAAGCTGTGGTGGCATATACTATTATCGGCGATGTGTATATATGTACTTGGCAGGGACAGTAATCCTAATATAGTTTAGAACAGTTTCTCCAATACCAGCAGTCCAGATTCAGTCTGAGTCTCATAATTCAAATCGCGTACTCCTTTTTGGCTATGGTATCGGAACAATGAAGTCGATTGTGACTCTGATGCAAATCCTGGTCTTCTCGCCGTCAAGACTACCACGACTGGAGATTCATAGAAATAGGACCTTGGGGGCCTTGGGGAACAGGGTGCCCTGGGGGATAGTTTGCCCATCAACACAGGGATATTTTAGAAGGCGTTAACCTCTTCGCTGTTAGCATAGAGTTAAGAGTCGCCGCGTTGATTAGGGCAAAAATCTCCACCGCATCGCTTCAAATTCGGGCTTCAGGGTCCTGACCCCGTAAGAACTACTTCTGTCACAGCGAATGATGTTCTTCCAAGGACTACAATGCTTAAGGCACTACTAGATTCAATGAATCACAAAAAAAATGAGGATCAAAAACATACAACAGAAGGGATTCGCTGGTGGTCACCCACCCAACTACTAACCTCCCGGCGTGTAGCTTAAGTACGGCTGAGCGGACGGGAAGCCCTGTTTTCCACACCCTGTGGTCGTATGTACCAGTTATCTCTATGACTAGAATCATATAGTGAATATTATTGGAGTCCATGTCGGGCTCCAGGGTCAATGTCGTGTTCGAGCTGACTTAATTGGCTGAGCAGGGGCGTTTACAGTAAAGAATTCGCAGCCGTAGCGATGGCTTGCGGGTTTGGTATTTTGAAACAGTTGGTTAGCGCTTACATATTACCTACTTAGAGGTTCACTTGAGTTGAACGAACTCTAAAGCGTATTTGAATTAAAGTCTGTACTAAAGAGATCAGGTAAGTAAGGAGTAACCTGATACGTTTCACTGAGGTATCTTAAATCCTCCAGGAACCATATTTTGGAAGATTCCCGCCGGATCAACCTCGCGGCTGATGCGTTGCAACCGCTTAATGCTTTCAGAGCCATAACTAGCGATCGGATCCTGCCATTTCGCTGCATAATTCAGATAGATAAAAGGGTGATGTGCATTCAATGCACGCGCATCGGCTTCAATGCCTGAAAAGAGCGCTTTGGCGGCTTGCTCCACCCGGGTATCATCAGCCGCGTTATCCCAAGTGGCGCTCAGTAAGGTCACCACCAGTGATCGCTCGTGGCGTTCGGATGATGACAGCCCCATAACATTATGACCGGGGGGTGCCCGTGCATAGATTGCCGGAGGTAGTGGCTCAAGAGAGATCGACCACACAATGCCTGGCACGTCCTGTACGGCTTCCAGACTGGAGTTCCACCGGAGGTAGGTTGCATTCAACATAGAAAGGGTCACGCCATGCGTCGCGACTACACTTAGCTGTCTGTAATTGTCGTCAACACTAAAAGATTAGATAAAGAAAGATATTCTTACCGTTTCCCGCTCTGTGAAAACGACCCTTGCTCAATAGCCACCTCATGCATGGCTGCCACACGCACGGTGCTGAACAACTGTGGGATGTCGAAAAGCGCTTTGTACACAATTGGGGGTGGTGTTACTCCATCATCCTCTAGTTCCTCGAGCTCCCCCGTATACACGACACTATTCACTATGGCAGCCCCCTGGCCTCCGGCGAACCCAAAACTGGTAATCAACGAAGCATACTCATCATAGCTGCTCGCGCCGGCCTTTGGATCAGCCAGCTCGGCGAAGGCACGTAATTGGGCGTCAATAGTCCCAGTGCTGTGGTAGATGGACCCGTCGTAAATAAGACCTTGTGGGAAAGTCCGCAAATCGAAGCCTGTGAGAACCCCAAAGTTAGCGCCGCCCCCGCGTAGCGCTGCCAGCCAATCCGGATGTTGGTCCTCATCCAAATATACAATTGTGCCGTTAGCCAAGATCACCTCTGCGCCGACCAAGCTGTCACACGTCCACCCGTAGCGCGGTGAGAAGTAGGAGATGCCGCCCCCGAGGGTCAGCCCGTCAACCCCGACCTGTGCAGCGCGGCCTCCTGCCACCGAGAGACCCAACGGATCGAGCAGGGCATAGACCTCGCCCCATGTAGCGCCTGCTCCGACAAGGACTGTGTGTTGTGGCTCCTTGTCTTGCGCACCTTCATCCTCATCTTTCCGTGATGGAGCATCGTGTATCCGAATAGAGTTGAGAGCGGGCAGATCAATGGTGACGCAATTTTCGATGTTGGATGCGCCTCCAAAGGAATTGTGGCCGCCAGAACGAATGGCAAACTGGCAGCCCGCTTTCTGATAATCAGGTACACCAGACGAGATTGCTAATATGCTGGTGATGACAATGGATACCTCATCGGCTGAGTCTGGAAACACCACGCACGAGGGCTGAAGCTCGCTATTCTGCTGGGTAAAGTACGATCCCTGCGACGCTTCATAAGCAGCAGTTTCGGGAAAGGAAACTTTGTCCTGTCCTAACATTGTAGCCAGGGAAAGGCACTGTGCACACAGCGGGGTTAGTATTTCTTACTCTGCAGAGGCTATGATCGCACGTACTCAAGCACCCGGGGAATCGCAAGCCGTAGTAACATTGCTGCCAACGAGCGGGACCTGCTCCATAATTAGGGACAAATGCAAACAGAAAGACGCTGTGGATTGATCGGTAGTCGAGAATAAAAGATGGAAGGGAATACACTATGGAAGGAGTCGCTGCAGGACTTTAATAGGCGGGGTGAGTGTCGTACGCGGTGGTCATGAGGCTAGAGACTTAGCGGCATTCACCCCTGCCACTTGTAGACAAGGATTATTTTTCCCAGAGGTAACTGGAGATTCCCGCTCTTCCAGCCTTGCCATGGCAATCTTTCTCATTGACCCGGATCAGGTTCTGTCCGGACAGCATAATAAGTGCGGTTGTATTTATTACCACCAGGCTTTCCTAGTTGTTCATACCTGAGTTGGATAGTGCTGATATGTAGAGTGGGTAATACAGAGGGGTCTACCTGGAGATAATAGAGACTATAGTGTATACCAGCTCGTTAGTCTAATCATGTTTGCGTTGAATGAATCATCAAATCATATCCTCCCTGGAGAACACATCGTTTGTGTGGCTTATTATGACAGACGCACACACACACACA